AGAGTAGTAATATGCGAAGAAATAGTAGATATTTTTTTCTTATTACTACTATGAAAAAGAAAATTACTAAGAAAAGAGGTAATTATTTTCCTAATATATTTAGGTGAAGAAGTAAAACAAAACTAATAATAAAGATAACTTCTTATAGAATAATTGGAAGCATCCGACCATAAATAACATTTTTTTTTCCAACCGGCCAACCATAAAAGAAACTTATATATAATGATTGTACAATCTATCACATTCAATTTAGAATAATTTATAGTAATACCAATATATTTTGAAGGAAAAGGGATGATTTTCAATCTACTAATCATACAAATATAACCTTGTAAATTATAATCAACTTTCTTAGAAAAATAAATAGCCTACTTAGTAAATTAATAACCAAATTAGTAGCATGACTGAAAATGTTCAGATTATTAACAAGTTGATGCATAATAAGAGAATATGTATCCCCATAAATTAAAAGGTCATCAACATAAATTAGATGAATAATTTTTTAAAAAGTTTTCACATGATAAAACTATTCTAAGTATCAATCATAAAGAGAGTGCATCTATAATAATAACAAATAAATAAAAAGAAAGAGGAGGAACTTGCCTCAAACTAGAAAAAGAATCAAAGTAACCAAATGTTTCATCATTAACGATAACATAAAAATAAACATCATTCGTACAAGCCTTAATCTAACAAATAAAACCAATAAAAAATCCCAATCTAATCATTTTGTCTTAAAGAAAAGTTTGATTAACCATGTCAAAAGCTTTAAGTAAATCAATTTTAGAATAAATTTTTTTCTGAATTAATAGGAGTTAAATCCAACTAGATACTTATTTGTCAAAATAACATTATCAGCAATATCTCTTCTTTAATGAAAGCAGCCTAAATTGAATTAATAATATTATAGAGAATAAGCTTAATAAGTTCATCTAATAGTTTAGCAATTAAAATTATAGTATTTACAAATTTGGCATGCTGTAGTCAAATCGAGTGTCTCTACAAGAGAAATACAATGAGCTCAAGATCACTTAATTCTTAGATTGTTAAGACACTTAAAAATTAAAATAGTGATCCATGATCAAATGAATCAGCACATACCAACTAGTGGAGTGTTTTGTGATTTTGGATAAATTTATATAAAAAAAACTCTCTTCCAAAACTCTATAAAAAAGTTTTCATTTCCAACACGAGGGGAGGAAGCTAATAGCTAAGTCCACACTCTTAAGGAAAATGGAAAAGTGACCACCACCAGAGATCATCACCAACCACAACTAGTAGTTATTATAACACAATTATTAGCCAGATAACTTCATACTTTAGTCAGCGCATTGTAACCCCATCATTTCTACATAAAAAGAAATAAAACCTTGTACCTTGAAATATTTAGTGAATTATTTTAACTACGTCAAATCCTATTTTATTTTTCTTTTTGAAATTTTCGTGTAAAATCTTCAGTGTTCCTATTTTAGCACTTCTTTTATATGTGTGTAGATTTTTGTACAATGCTAAGACGTAAATCCAACAATAATTTCTTGCAAAAAAGTAATTTAGAAGTCCACCGTAAATCTGGTGAAAACTTTTGCATTAATTTGAAGTAAAAATTTGCCTTTGTGATTCTGTTGATATTTACTTCTATTTAATGAGTGTGTGCCATACCCTCAGTATAGACAACTATACTCTGAGCTAATTCCAGCCCGAGCTTCACCCAATTGTTGAATAGCAATTAACTCGTGGCAGAGCATGTCACTTGCTTATGGATTATCCTATAGGTAAATAACTATGCCAAGGTAGTCATAACATATCCTAAGCTTTGATGCAGTCAAATCATTTAGGGAAGAGACCATTTTAGAAAGTCTATAAAGGCATCATTCCACATACAAATATGGAATAGAAACCTCAAGAGAGAGATTGAGGGTGGGAGAGATGTGTTTAAGAGAAGCCCTTTATCTTCTCATTGCAAAAACCAGTTTAAGTTCTTGCCATGATTGTATTGAGCGAAGTGCAAAAATAGTCTCTTAACTATTTACATGGGGTCGTTTTAATCCCAGAATTCAAATGAGTGGCAAATTAGTTGGCAAACTTTTTAAATTGGGGCACTAGCAGTCCTCTAAAGAGACTAAGTTAGCTTCAATTTAAAGATTCCCGGGATCAACTGGTATACCTATAAACTCTGGGACAAAAATGACACCATGTAATTGGGGACTATTTGACTACTAGTAGCATTTTGGCGGTGCTTCGCTAATGTGGAATGGGATATGCTTTAAGGAGAAGACTTGGAGGCCACTTGAGATTACTTCTGTCTTATATTTTACTTTTATTTCAATATTATTCTTTATTTGTTTAACAAGTTAATTGTATTTCTTAATTCACAAAATAGTTAAAAGAGTCATTTTAATTTTTTTTTTGAAAAGCAAATTAGCTTCTTTGCAGTATATTTTATTTCAAATTAAAGATTATATAAACAGAATAAAACAAAAATATAAAATAATTAAAAATTGAAAGTTATTCAGACAACTAGTCTTCAATAGGAGCGATTATTGTGTGCGGAGAGCGCACGCAGCTCTCGGATCACAGTCGCACATCGCGCTGTATGACAGTGGGTCCGCGATGTGAGGCTGTGATTGGAGAGCGCACGCAGCTTCGTACCCAATAATTAGACCTTCAATAGGATCCTGATTTGCAGATTTAATACATATTAAGAAGCAATTGTCACATTCCATTTATGTTCATCTGTATGGGACAGAAGTTCAGTACTTGGTTCGACAAATCCTTCATCTCAGCTATTGAAAATCAGCTGCAGTTTTTCTTCACATTATTAGCAAACAATCAACAAATTAAATAACAAACCATCAAAAAAAAATTCTACATTTACAGAACTACCTCCCGCCAAAGCCCATGACCTTTGGAGCAAATCTCAACAACCTTGTCAACGAGCTCGAATGAAACTTCCTCGCGAAAAGAAAGCAAACCGTAGTATTCCTCCCATTATACTCGCAAGTGGAGCCGCCCCTCATCCACCGCAACAGCTCCGGCGTGACCGCGGGACGAATAAACCTCGCCGGATGCGCCCCGCCGTGCGACCAATCGACCCATGTAAGACTCCGATTGGCATTCAGGTGGCCGAAGCTCATGGTGATCATTGTGGGCAAGTAATGCTCGTCGACATAGCAGGAAGGATGACAGAAGCGGCGGAAGACGGGGAAAAAGCGGTCGTCGGCGACGACATGGATGGCGAGCGGGCGGCTAAGTTCGAACCATTGGGAGCCTTTGCGCCCGG